AACCAACCAGTCCATACAGACCTATACGCCTTCCACGTAGCAGCCGACAATGATTCCGATACCAAGGACATCAGGCCTCCGAAACCAGGTCCCATAAGTATGCAGGACAGCGAAGCCCCTCCTGATCTGCTTCTGGTGCCGACTCCCGAAAACGGTCCCACTGAAACCGAGAAAGAGAGTCAGCCACCACATTCAAAACCCCCGGAACGTGCCGAGCCTGCAACCACACATTAAACTGCAAGCTAAGCAGCACTAGGTGACGCAAGAGGGCCAAAACTGGAGGAGACACAGACGAGGATCGGTTAATCACATGGACCACGCTCATGTTATCCGTGTGAAAAACCACCACCCGGTTCCGCAATTCGTCCCCCCACAGTGCTAGTGCCACCACTATGGGGAACAGCTCCAAGAACGTAAGGTTCTGCATCACCTTCAGCTCCCGCCATGACGACGGCCAAGCAGCCGCACACCACTTGCCCTGAAAGAATGCCCCAAACCCTACCGACCCCGATGCATCCGTATAGAGGTCGAGTTCGGCATTGGGAACCGCTTCACGCAACCAACAAGATCGGCCATTGTACTTACCCAGGAAAACACTCCACACCTGCAGGTCGGCCCGCAGCTTGGCAGTCACCCTAATGAAATGGTGAGCCTCCCTGATACCAACCGTCGCCAAGGACAAGCGCCTACAAAAAGCCCGACCCATGGGCAAAACTCTGCAAGCAAATGCTAGATGACCCAGCAAAACTTGCATCATGTGCAACTGGACCTTACGAGACGATTTTACCAAGTCAATCTGACGCAGCAGCACCGTGAGCTTTTCGTCCGGTAAACGAAAAACCATGTCCACGGTGTCGATCTCGACCCCCAAAAACGACAGCCTTGTGGCTGGCCCTTCCGTCTTATGTTCCGCAACTGGCACGCCAAACCACGCAGACACTGCGCGGAAGGCCGACAGCAACCGAGCACATGCATCACCCTCCCGAGGACTCACAAATAGGAAGTCATCGAGATAGTGCGTAACTGAAACCAAACCCGAGTACTGAACCACGGACCATTCTAAAAACGAGGAAAACATTTCGAAATAAGAACACGATATAAAACAACCCATGGGAAGGCACATGTCGTAGAAGTACGACCCCTGGAATTGACAACCCAGAAAATGATGACATCCTGGGTGAACCAGCAATAACCGAAAGGCCGATTCGATGTTCGATTTTGCCAGGAGTGCCCCCAACCCCGCTTCCCGAACCAATGACAGAGCCCTATCAAAAGAGGAATAACGCACCCTGCTAAACTCCCTATCAATATCATCATTCACCGACTTCCCGTCCGGGTAGGACAGGTGATGAATCAACCGAAAGGAGCCAGGCTCCTTCTTTGGAACCAGCCCCAAGGGCGATACCCGCAAGTTGGGAAATGGGGGGAAAGAAAACGGACCCGCCATGCGCCCCAATAACAACTCCTTCCTCAACTTAGCTTCCAAAACTTCCTCCTTACCCTGTACAGACCGAAGATTTTCTGCCAACCGCGGCTCCGCCAAGAAGACAAAGGGGATCCAGAATCCGACTGAAAACCCTTCCTCCAACACCGCGGCGTCGCAGCGATTAGGGTAGGCCTCGAGCCATGGCCACATCCTTGCCACGCTCACTGGGGTCCTCCCCTTTGGAACTATCCTCCCGGGACCCTGCCTTAGGGATGGACTGCTTTGCCTTCTTAAAGCATCGCATGGCAGGGTGAGTGTAACGGATCGCCTGGCACCCCGACTGGGTACCTCCATTGAAGGATGCTCCTAGCGCTTCCTGAGGACTCCAAGCACTCTGGCAGACACCACAATCACCGAACCGGAGAAACAAATAAATTCTCCCAAGCATATGAATGCTGTAGACAGTTGAATAGGAACCATACAAATAGGTTTACTCTCCTAGCAGTCAAACTGGAACAGCATACAATAAATCCTTCCCCCAATAATGAGACGACACTTCACTTTGAGGGTTAAACAGGAACTCCAGTGCTGGCACACCCAGCCTGGTTTTTATTACAATCCACAAAACATAGTACTGCCCACAGGGTTTTGCAGAACCACCAATAAACACATTACAACACCTACAATGCAAGTACAGCAGCCAATCAGACACAATGGGACAATAGAAACACACCCAGCATATTCCTCCCCTCTGCTTAGGAGATAATTGAGTCAATTACTGTATCTACTCAATTATCTCCAAGCTGAAAAGTTACTTTTTGTACATTTTTATAACTTTGTGAGTTAACATCGTACATACATAAAACTTACATTTTCATAATCAATCCATTCAGGGGAACAACATGTTTAAAAAATGGCACGAATCAGACCAGGGGTTCAAAAGTTAAGGGAAAGTCCTTTGTGACTAAATGAAGCTTGCTTTCCGGCCCAAACCAGTTTCAGAGTCTTCTATCCTGGAGAGTAATTCAATTATCTCCCAGGACAGACACAAGACTCCATTAAGCACATGGTTGCAAAAAGACACAAAACACTTTAAAATACATAAAGTCACATTTTATACATAAAACACAGACATGTCACATATCCCCAGATAGCTGAGATCTGAGCGCACAAAACTACCGAATAGTGCTCAGATCCTATTCACACAGTTCAATTGCCATGGAGCCGAAGTCTTTAACTACACGAATGGGCTCCATGGCATAGCTATCTGGGTTAATAACTTCACATAAAGTCTGGTCCATAGTCCAAAGGCAAGAGGCGGGCAAGCAGCCCCCTCCAAGGACACGTGGCGAGGCCGGTTTTGCCACATTTCTCCCCTTTACCATCCAGACTAACAGGGTATCTGACCTCCTTCCGGTCAGTGCCCTGGTTAGTCCAGCAACCCACCCACAAAGCACAAACAGCAATACAGCCCACCCACAATAACTGGTTACTACACCTGGATAAAATAGCAACTTGTCCATGTCCAGGTGCCTCACCACGGCTGTGCGGGGGGCTGGTAGACTGCCTTGGTGGGTTGCTGAGTGGACAGAGACCAGCAGTACTCTGCCCGGGTGCCAGCGCTACCACTGAAGTAGCCTGGTTGGAGCCTGGTTGTGGGAGGGGGAGACCGACTGTCTCCCCTCTGGATACACTGCTCTGTGGCTGGGGACAGGACCGACTGTCCCTACCCCTGGTGCTGCAAGTGCAGAGACTACGGTCCCATCTGCATAGTTGTGGGGCTTAACATCTCCCCTTGGTGGGTTAGGCTGCCGCTGGAGAGAGGGTGTAACAAGCTCCTCTCTCTGAATTGTAGACTGCCACTGGGGAGAGGGGGTAACCTGCTCCTCTCCCTGACACTCTCTTTGCTGGTGGAGAGGGGGACCAACTGTCTCCCCTTTCAATATTTTGTCCTGCGGCTGGGGTGAAAGACAGACTGTCTCCGCTTCCTGCAGGACACACTGCCGCTGGGGAGGAAGGACCACACCTTCAGCTCCCTGGGACTCACACTGCCGCTGGGGAGGAAGGACAGCACCTTTGGCTCCCTGGAACTCACACTGTTGCTGGGGAGGAAGGATAGCACCTTCAGCTCCCTGTGATACATACTGCCGCTGGAGATCTGGGCCGACCGCCCAGCATCCCTGTAGGGCCGGTAGAGAGACCGCCATCCCATCTCCACCTGCCATCTTTGGGTCTTCCCAGGACCAGTCTGCAGCTGGTAGTGAAGCAGGGGGTACCTCGGCTGCGTTTTCCCAGCTGTAGGTTGGCAGGTCTGGGTCCCCCAGCCAGTTTTCCTGTTCTGTGTCCATGCCCTGTGGCTGACATGAGTTTAGTAGTTCCACATAGTCCATCTCTAGCTGTCGTTCCATGGCAGCCAAAAGGTGGAGGTCTTGTCCCAGTCCCATAGATCTCGGGCCCTGTACCATCTCACCCCGGTTATAAAAGATAGCCCAGTACCGTGACTCTGCTGGACTGCCAAAGTCAACGTCTTCTGCTAAGGCCTTCCACAATAGGCCAGGGCTAGTGTAGTTCTCCCCCTCCGGCTGGATGCCCTCTGCCCTCCACGTCTCTGGCTGGACAGTGCACCACCACAGTGCCCGGTATGAGGCGTCAAGGCTCAGTTCCCTTTCCACGAGGTACTCAAGTTGTCTGACCTGCTGCCCTCCAGGTTGATCTCCCAGAAGCGGCATCCGCCAGGCCATTTGTTCCTCCAACTGGTATGCGACACCAGGAAGGCGCTGCTGCCGTTGATACTGGACTTCCTCCAGGGCATCGTACCATAGTTCTTGCCGGGCAATATCTCTCCATTCCAATTCACTCTCTTCCTCAAGTGTGCGTGTTGCCCAAGGATCCACGAACCCTATTTTCCCAAATCTTTATGTAGACAGGGACGCTGTATAAACACTAGCGTCGCCTTCAATTTGTAAATCCAAACAAACTGTGTCTCTGAGCTGCTTTACCTCGCACTAGGACGCCATCCCACCGCTTGCCACCAATGTAACGGATCGCCTGGCACCCCGACTGGGTACCTCCGTTGAAGGATGCTCCTAGCGCTTCCTGAGGACTCCAAGCACTCTGGCAGACACCACAATCACCGAACCGGAGAAACAAATAAATTCTCCCAAGCATATGAATGCTGTAGACAGTTGAATAGGAACCATACGAATAGGTTTACTCTCCTAGCAGTCAAACTGGAACAGCATACAATAAATCCTTCCCCCAATAATGAGACGACACTTCACTTTGAGGGTTAAAACAGGAACTCCAGTGCTGGCACACCCAGCCTGGTTTTTATTACAATCCACAAAACATAGTACTGCCCACAGGGTTTTGCAGAACCACCAATAAACACATTACAACACATACAATGCAAGTACAGCAGCCAATCAGACACAATGGGACAATAGAAACACACCCAGCATATTCCTCCCCTCTGCTTAGGAGATAATTGAGTCAATTACTGTATCTACTCAATTATCTCCAAGCTGAAAAGTTACTTTTGTACATTTTTATAACTTTGTGAGTTAACATCGTACATACATAAAACTTACATTTTCATAATCAATCCATTCAGGGGAACAACATATTAAAAAATGGCACGAATCAGACCAGGGGTTCAAAAGTTAAGGGAAAGTCCTTTGTGACTAAATGAAGCATGGCTTTCTGGCCCAAACCAGTTTCAGAGTCTTCTATCCTGGAGATAAGTAATTCAATTATCTCCCAGGACAGACACAAGACTCCATTAAGCACATGGTTGCAAAAAGACACAAAACACTTTAAAATACATAAAGTCACATTTTACACATAACACACAGACATTTCACATATCCCCAGATAGCTGGGATCTGAGCGCACAAAACTACCGAATAGTGCTCAGATCCTATTCACACAGTTCAATTGCCATGGAGCCGAAGTCTTTAACTACACGAATGGGCTCCATGGCATAGCTATCTGGGTTAATAACTTCACATAAAGTCTGGTCCATAGTCCAAAGGCAAGAGGCGGGCAAGCAGCCCCCTCCAAGGACACGTGGCGAGGCCGGTTTCGCCACAGTGAGCCCCCCCGCAATGCGAGCACTCGTGCTTAAACCTGCAAGAGGAGTACCACCTGCAGTGGCTCTCATTGAAGAGCCAGCACACTCCCCTTTTTTGCCCAGCCGACGCACCGGAGGAAGCTCCTGCGCCGGCTGCTCCTGGAAAGGACGCCGGACGACTAGGCGTCATGAGTAACAGCCACAGGCTGCCATCCTGAGTGCCAAAGTCCAGTCCAGGACACGCCGCCATCTTCTGATGGAACTGCTGGTCATAGCGGAACCAGCTCTGCCCACCATAGACCTTATACGCACCCCAAATCAGATCCAAGTACCCGAACAACGCCGGCGCCCTATCCGGAAACCGACGGGTCAGAATACTCGCGAAAACTGCGAATCCCTGTAACCAATTCCCAAACGTGCGTGGGATTTGCTTACCCTTCTCCGGATCCTGTGGTTCGCTGCGGCGCCGGCGGTCCACAGAATCCCTGTCCGGGGAAACCAGAGACAGAAAATCCACAAATTCCCCTCTTAAAATTTTTTCCTGTGTCTCTCCTGGGACATGCATTCCCAAGGGAGATATTTCGCAACCTGGAAGGGACCCCCCGATGCCTGGGCCTTATCAGCCGGAGTCTCCTCTGGCATCCTGGGTACATCCCTTGACTGGCAAAGCGCAGACCCTGGTAACCTATCCACTACTGCCCTGAGCAAGCGCAATAACTCTCCTTCCGCAGCCTGCTCCTGCCCTAGGATACCTGGCGCGCCCTGCCCCCTCGTTAGGCTACCCCTAGCGCAAGCCAACTCACCGCTTACTTGAGCTGCCACGGTAGCCCACTCTGGTTGGAAACCTCTGGGCATCGTCCTCCGGTCCATATCCTCTTCGTCTTCCTCCTGAGAAGCGGAATCCGAGCCCTCCTGCAGCCTGTCTGCGCTCTGTCTGCTGTACCTCGCACCTGCTGGACTCCTGGCTGGCAGTCCCCGGATCTCGGTCTCCCTATGCTGCAGGGCACCTGCCCCCAGCCTTCTTCCAGGCTGTGCAGCCCTCCGAACCCGTTCTGGGGCTTCCCCACCGCTCTCCTGGGGATCCGGCGCCGAAATCCCGGTTACTTCCGGGTTCTCCTGTGGGGCCTGTGACGTCCGCACGGTGCGCCGTGCGTCCGTCACGTACTCGCCCCTCGTGACGTCCGGCGTCTCCACGCACCGCCCGGACGTCATACGTTGACGCATCACTTCCTGCCGGGCCGGAAACGAAGGAGGGCTGCGAGAGCGCTGTTCCCGCGCTCCGCCATCTTGGGCCTTTCTCACCGAAACGCCTCTCACCCGCGGCTGCCTCCTGGAAGCCCGGGATACGACCTCGCCGTCGCCCAGTGTGGAAGCCGCCTGCTGTCCACTGGTCCCGACCTCCGCCGTCCCTCTTCTGGGCACCGGACTGGGGGAAAGGCGGGAAGGAGGCCTAGAACGCCTCGGCCTCCTCCCGCAGGCCAGAGAAGAGGTCTCCACCACCAGCTGCTCAGCATCCAACTGGGCCTGAGGAACGGCAGCCATCAGGTCCGCCAGGGAACCGGACCCATGGGACGTCAGGTAGGCCTGCAGCGCCCCCAGTAAAGCTTCCCTTGACAAATCCGCCATCTTCAGGAAGGCCTGGCTTATACAGACAACAGGTATAAACTCCTTTTTTTTTTTTTTTTAAACAGCAGAAGGCAAAGGATAAAGGGGTTCTGAAAAACTGTTCCAGACCGCTACTTCTGCTCTGGTGAGTACCCTCCCTTCTGCATTCCTTCTTATATCCCCCATCTAGCAACTATATATCCATAATAGTCCCCTCCCCCCCCTTACTGCAGGACAGCAGTCATGCTTCCCCTTCCTTGCAGTCCAGGGGATATCTTTCTTTCTCTCTAAGATATTATTTCTGATTAATGTATTTCGACCTTTTCAGTGCTCGTGTCAAGTGACTGTAATTTAGTGAATACGCCCCAAATGTTGAAGCCCAGCCCAGTATTGGCCACTTACCTGGTTGTTTCATTAAGAAATGAGTCCTGGGCCGTACTAAGGGTTTCTGCAAAACCTGAATCAGGAATAGTTTGATTCCTCCTCTGCTCCAGGTAACAAATCTTTATACTCGACCAGTGATAACAGTTCAACCTACCATTCATCAAGACTTAAAACAGTAAAATAGGTTTATTTTCTAAAGTGATGTTTGAAAGTGAATTTCAAATTTTACTCCAACCACGATGACTACTTTTGTGATTTGAAGTGGTTATAGTGGTAGGTGTCTGTATGTGCAGTATTTGAGCTCGAAACAATGCACATACAGTACCTCCCTGGACATTAAGGAAGGGAGGACATGACTGCTGGCAGGGATAAGGGGTTGGGTCACAAGGGGATACATTGTTACACATGGGGGGACATTAAGATGGGGAAAAAGGGGAGGGTACTCACCAGTTCCTGGGCAGAGGTGTAGTGTTGCTAGCTTCCCCTGGGACTGTCCAAAAAAAAAAAAAAGAATTTTCAATTATTACTATTTTCATTTGGATTTTCTACTTACCTGACTTCCCCCTCATCTGGCATCGGGAGAATGGCTTCAGCTGTGTCAAGGGAAGATGTGGTAGCCTTACTGCAGGCGTACCTTGCCTCTCATGGATCCGGTGCTTTGGAGGAGGTGATCGCTGGGGTGGATAATCGCCCGGCTCCTGCTGCAGCTTCAGGGACTTCTTCTATTCCGTTGGATGGCGGTAGGAGGACCAGGCGTTCCAGGCCTCCTACGCGCCTGTCCCCCAGTCCGGTGTCCAGACGTCGAGGTCGCCAGCGGGAACAGCGGATTGGCACCAGGTTGGCGGCCATCATCGTTGGTGGACAAGATGGCGGCGTTGGCGGGAAGATCTCGGAGCCCGCCGTCTCTTCCGGTCCAAACGGCGGGAAGAGAGAGGACGCCGGAAGTGAGTGGAAGCGTCGGCGTGCGTCAGGCCGCCGGACGTCATCATCGGGCGCAACCGGAAGTGACGCGCCCGCCGGATCACGGGACCCGGAAGTGACGCGCTCCGGCGGCGTCCCGAACCCGGAAATGACACACAACGTCGGCGCCCGGTCCAGAACACGGAGTTCTCAGGGCGCCGGACGCAGAGGACGGTCGGCAGGGAGAAGAGGAGACCTCAGGAGAGCCCAGACAGCCGGAGTCAACCCCCATCACCCTGAGGCAGCCGGTTTCGGAACGGTTAACCGGGAGCACACCTCAGGTCCAGCTGCAGATGTCCCTGGGAGCCCTTGGTCGGATTCTGGTTCTGAAGAGGAGGAGGTTTCGGTGCCTGCAGTTCCCCAGCGGTCCGGTGAGTGGTTACATGGCGCCGGCGTGCCAGGGACTGGGGCCCAAGATCAGGCTAGTGAGTGCTTGCGCTTGCTTAGGACCCTAGTGGCCACTTTCCCTTCCCATCTTACTGGGCTGGATACTAGACAGGTTCAGGGACAGGGTCTCCCAGGGCTGGCTGAGGGTCAGCCGCAGGGATGTTCTCACACCCTTAGGGCTCAGCCAGGGGCTTTGGTCGGATTCTGGTTCTGAAGAGGAGGAGGTTTCGGTGCCTGCAGTTCCCCAGCGGTCCGGTGAGTGGTTACATTGCGCCGGCGTGCCAGGGACTGGGGCCCAAGATCAGGCTAGTGAGTGCTTGCGCTTGCTTAGGACCCTAGTGGCCACTTTCCCTTCCCATCTTACTGGGCTGGATACTAGACAGGTTCAGGGACAGGGTCTCCCAGGGCTGGCTGAGGGTCAGCCGCAGGGATGTTCTCAAACCCTTAGGGCTCAGCCTGCCGCAGGGGCTTTTCGTGCCGGTTCGGTGGGATGTGATCTTGCACCGTTAGGTTTGCATGTCCCTATGGACGTGCAAGAGAAGATTTGGAGAGGTGAGTATGTGGATCTGCTGTCTTTGGTCTCTCCCGACAAAGATTCAGTGGACAGACCATGTCGTGGGGAGGTACCCGAGGTGGAAAAAGGTAAGCAGATACCCAGAACCTTTGGTAATTGGTTGCAGGGGTTTAACATATTTGCCAGTATCCTTGTGCGCCGGTTCCCAGATAAGGCTCCGGCCCTGTTCGGGTACTTAGATCTGATTTGGGGGGCCTACAAAATTTATGGCGGGCAATGCTGGTATCGCTATGACCAGCAATTCCGACAAAAGATGGCGGTGTGCCCGGGTATGGATTTCGCCGTGCAGGATGGCAGTCTATGGCTGTTACTTATGACTCCCAGTAGACCATCCCCCTTTCCCGGGCCTGCCGGAGGTAACTCCGGCTCCTCTGCAGGGCAGAGAAAAGGTGTGTGTTGGCTCTTTAATGAGAGCCACTGCCGCTGGTATAGCTCCTGCAGGTTCCGCCATGAGTGTGCACACTGCGGGGGAGCCCACCCCGCGGTGCGCTGCTTCCGTAAGGGGAAGCCAGTTTCGGGAAAGGGTCCCTCTCGAGATGACGTACCTAGGGGAGAGGACGCCGGTGGACGCCCTAAGGAGGCTCCCGTGGCTCGCCCGGTATCATAGGGGTCGCGATGCTCAGACATTGTTTGATGGTTTTCAGGTAGGTTTCTGGATCCCCTTTGTTCCCTCTTCTTTCCCTCAGTTCGCGGACAATCTCCGCTCGGTTAAGGGCAAAGAAGATATTTTACAGCAAAAATTGCAGGTGGAGGTGCAGGCGGGTCGCATGGCTGGCCCGTTTAGTGCGCCACCTTTTCCTAACCTTAGGGTCTCCCCTCTGGGGTTGGTTCCCAAAAAGGACCCAGGTTCCTTTCGTTTGATCCAGCACCTATCCTACCCGTCGGGTGAATCGGTAAATGATGCCATTGGCAAGGACATCTGTCGCGTGCGATATGCATCATTTGATAGGGCTTTGGAATTAGTTCG